CGTACTTCTCCGTACTTCTTCGTACTTCTCCGTACGTTTTCGTATTTCTTCGTACTTCTTTGGTGCAAGAATTAATGGGAACTAATTCATCAACTGAGTCTTTGTTACACGTTTTCATTTTAGAATTAAAAAATCATGATCGAAATACTAGCAAAATCTATCGTTTCTCTTTCTTCTCACTCGTTTTATTTTGTAGTGGTAAGGTATAAGAAGAGAAAACAATGTTGATTGCTCTTCTAATTTTCGATTTTACAGAGAAGAAAGAACAACGATATCTCAGACCGAACGACAGTAAAATAAATTATAAAAATTAATTGTTAAACGAAAGAAAAGTCTATCACAATAAAAGAGAAAAATATTTCGCGACTAACATGAGATCGGTTACAACAAAATAATTAGCAATATATTTGCAAAAACAAGAACATCTTCAAGAGCGAAAAGTTCAATTGATGAATCGACGTTTCTTTTTCGTTGGCGCAGGTGTTTGTGACTCATTTGCTGAACGTTTTGATGATGCTGATTGTGAGGAAGATGTGTTCGATGAAGTAGACACTGCTGCTACCACCGGATTTGTCGTCGCCGATGCCATTGGTTGATGATGTGATGATGATTCAACCGATGTTGTTTTCTTGTTTTTCTTTCTCATATCTTTCATGAGTGAACAGCTGGTGTCTTTCAAGTGCTTGTAATAATTCGATAATTGTAATTTGTTCTCTTTTTTGGCTAATTTCGTCATGACTCCACATTTACAAACGACATTTGCGTCAATCTCATTGTTGTTGTTCACTAAATTTAAATGAAAATCGACTCCATCAATAAGATCAAAATCATTCATGCTTAGATTTTCTTTGTTCGATTGGCACCACTTCTTCATCAAATTCAATAGATATTGTTTATGATTATCTAATGAGAGTTCCGATGACGATCTTGATGATGTCTGAGTTGTATTTGCTTGAATTAATGGAGTTGACGATGATGAAGATGTTAAGGTGTTTGTTGGAGCCTGTATCATATTCGTTCGTTGAAATTTTCGTTTCGATTGTTCTTTAGTTTTTTCTTCCCCTATTTTCAACATTAGTTTTTTCAAACATTCAAAACTGCTTCGAATGCCCGGTTTGACCAAAAATGTTCCATCTCGCAACCGAAAGCACAATTCTTTCTTTAAATCGTCAAATTCATCACAATCAACATCGAGTTCTAATGCATCACAAATGTCATCAGTCATGAGAAACACAGACATACAACCAATTTTTTGGATTTCAATCAGACGTGCTTGACAATGACCTAATCGTTTTTTGACGAATTCGTAAAAATCATTATCGGTTAAAGAGAATACATCTGATGGTATATCATTAGTATTCCAGAAGAGTGATTCACCAGACATGACACAAAAATCGAGACAAATGAAAGATCGAAAAATGAATTTAATCTAGAACGAAAGATCTGTTTATAATCAAAGAACTAGATGGAACAGAGATGGGCGAGTCCGAGTCATACTCGAGTCGCATTTTTTTAATGTCCCTGACTTGATTCGGACTCAACTCGGACTCGGAAAGTGACTTGACTCGCTCATCTCTGAGACGGAAGGATCAGGATGAGTATGTGCAAAAATCTTGCTGGTACGTATATTTATTGGACAAACGCGACAACCAATCAAAATCAGATCTCTCCTCCTTGTCTTTGATATTCGTAGCCGTTCTGCTTCAATACCACAGAACGACATCTTGAGAACAAATTTATGAGCGAATAAGATAGGGTAGAATTGACATTCCTATTTTGAAAGGAAAGAGTTTTGATCGAGATATTCCCTCAATTCAACTCGGATATTGATATTCATCGTTGTTTTAGGCCTATCTTTGTGACTTACAGTCTTTTTCGAATGTATTTCGTTTTTATCACAACGATTATCATGTAACTACTAGAATGAGTCATTTTAGATAATATTTTTCCAGATCATCTTTCGATATGAATATTAACAATAACAACAACATGATTTTCGATACGTCTCGATTACCAAACGATGTGTTTATGCTTAAAAATGCTGAGTTTTTCCG